CTTGATCGGATAAAACGCGGATATGCTGCAACTTTCATGCTTAATTTTCTCAGTCATCTGGTGTGTAGTAATCTAATTTTATGCAATGTAATGTGTTATATTTTCAAGGGCTTTTCAATGCAGTTATCGGTTTAAATATACCTAAAATTCCCGTTAAGAGATATGACAATTGCCGTACGGCCTACTTTTACGCAAACGAAAATTTAATTTAGCTACAATTGCCAAAATTTCATGCTTAATTTTCTCTGTTGTCTGGGTATGTAGTAATCTAATTTTATGCAATGTAATGTGCTGTTTTTTCAAGGACTTTTCAATGCAGTTATCGGTTTAAATATAACTCAAATTCCCATTGAGATATGACAATTGCCGTACGGACTACTTTTACGCAAACGCAAATTACAACTGCAAATTTCATCAGCACATCACATTGGCATAAAATTACATTACTACATGCCCGGATAACAGAGAAAATTAAGCATGAAAGTGGCAATTGTAGCTAATTTTCGTTTGCGTAAAAGTAGGCCGTACGGCAATTGTCATATCACTTAACGGGAATTTTAGGTATATTTAAACCGATAACTGCATTGAAAAGCCCTTGAAAATATAACACATTACATTGCATAAAATTAGATTACTACATACCCAGATGACTGAGAAAATTAAGCATGAAAGTTGCAGCATATCCGCGTTTTATCCGATCAAGCGTTACGAAGGTTTGAAAACCCCCGCATTTCCACATGTATTTTATCAACTTTTCGCGGACAATTTATTACGATTAATAATAGTCTATTATAATATATCCTAATATATCCCTTTCAACAAAACGCGGATTTGATTTTAAAATTGAGTTTCGTGTCAAATGAAGCCGTCTCCCCCCCCCGTCCATCCGCCTGTCGTCCCGTCCATCCGCCTGTCCCCCCCCGTCCATCCCCCTCTTCCCCCGTCCATCCACCTGTCCCCCCCGTCCATCCGCCTCTTCTCCCGTCCATCCGCCTGTCTCCCCCGTCCGTCCGTATCCGCATTTTTCAATTTTCCTGTAATTTACATTTTCGGCCGTTTCGTTTCGGTCGTTTCGTTTCGCCTTTTAGTACATGCCCATGGCTACCATTGGAAAATATCGTGATGTTCCGGTATATTCCGGGAAAATTCGTGATATTCCGGCATATTCCGTGATATTCCGCCATATTCCGTGATATTCCGCCATATTCCGTGATATTCCGCCATATTCCGTGATATTCCGGCATTCCGGGTTTTCACAACGCCCATTTCCAAAGTAGGACTCATTCTAATATTGATAGATAATGAGTTATGTTGTTATTCTAATGAGTTTCACAACCATCTTCC